TTTTTTTTTTTTTTTTTTTTTTTTTTTTTTTTTTTTTTTTTTTTTTTTTTTTTTTTTTTTTTCTTTTCTTTTTTATTTTTTTATTATTTATTATTTATTATTTATTATTTATTTTTCTATTCTTATTTTTATTATTTTTATTATTTTTATTATTATTCTTTATCTTTTTTTATATTATACTAAGTTAAAATTATTTTAAATTTTATTAAATCTAACTAGTAAATTTTTTAATTTTAAAAATAAAAATAAGCTAAAATCTAATATTTTTAAATCTAGTTTAATTAAAAGCTAATATATCTAAATATATAAATATTAAAAATAATTTCTAGAATAAAATCTTAAATTTTATTAATTATTTATAAATAATTTTTTATAATTAATTATAAGGACTAAGGGGTGAAATAGTATAATAAATAAATATCTCTTATAAGAGTTAAAGGTGGTATTATATTATCTTAAAATATTATTACTGGTTTCTTATTCTTATAAGTAGCTGCTATTTATATAATAATTATAACTATTTATTTAATTTTTTATATAATCTTTTATTTTATTTTTATAGAAATAATTAATATTTTTTTATAATAAATTTATTATAAAAATTATAAAAATATTAATTTTTATAATTATTTTTTTTATAGAATAAAGCTAGAATTATATTTATAATATATTATTAAAATCTCTCTTTAATAAACCTATTTTATAGAAAAACCTAGAATAATAAAAAAAATAATTATTTTTATAGTTAATATTCTCTTATATAAATTATTATATAACTATTTTATAAAAGTTTATATAATTTTTTATATAATTTTAATTTTTTAATTATCTATTAACTTTCTCTTTATAGATATTATTTTATATAAATAAAGAATAATATTATTATTTTTTTAAATTTTTTTTTTAATATTTATAATCTACTTCTAGAAAGGTTAATAAAACTATTCTTATAAAAAAAAATTTATTTTTATATAAAAAATCTTTTTCTTTTTTAATTAAAACTTTTTTTTTTTAAATTTTTAAATTTTTTTATTCTTCTTTTTTTCTTTATTAGTAAATATTATAAAGATTTTTTTTTTAATATAATATTATTTTCTTTTTTTTTATAAGATATTATATAATTTTTTATTATAAAATATTTTTCTTAAGATTTTCTTTATTTTAGTATAATTTTTTTTTTTTTATAAAGTTCTATTTTTTAAATTCTTATATAATTTTTTATTTTATTAGAATTATCTTTATACTTTATAAAATATAAATTCTAATTATTATTATTTTTTTAACTTTTTATAAAATAATATTATTCTATAAATAATTTTCTATTTTTAATTTTAGTTAAATTATTTATTTTATAAATTTTTCTATCCCTATAAATCTTTTAAATATTTATTAATTTAAATAATCTATTATTATTACTATTATTAATATTTATTATATAATTTTAGATATTACTACTACTATTTTTTTTTATTAGATTATTTTTTAATAAAATTAATTTATTACTAGTCTTTATTTTTATAATATTTATTATAAATAACTTTTTATAAGAGTTTTTTTTAGTATTATAATTAATTTTAATATTATAATTTTCTTTTTTTATTATAATTAATTCTATATTCTTAGTTTCTATAATTATTTTTTTATTTTTAATTTTTATTCTCTCTACTAGTATCCTAGGTATTTTATAATTTTTTATAATTTTTTTTTTATAATATTTTACTTCTTTAGAATAAAATTATATAATATATTTTAAAAATAAGTAATATATAAACAGCTTCTATAATTTAAGATCTTTTAATAATTAAAACTTTTTTATTTTTTATAGATATATTTAAAGTAGTCTAGAACTAGTTAATACTATATATATAAATTATTAATAAAAAATAAAATATTTTATTTTTTATTAAATTATTTTTTATAATCTACTTTATAAAAATTTAAGAAGTAATATTTATTATATTATTTAGTTTTTTTCTTTAAATAAAATAATAGCTCTTATCTAGTTATAAATAAATATAGATTTAATTATTTATTATATATTTAATTATATATATTAAATAGTTATAATTCTTATAACTAGTTATCTAAATCTAATTTTATAAGAGTATTCTTATAACTTAAGCTAATAGATAACTATTATTTAACTAGATATATATATATTATTATAATTCTTTTTATAAAAAAATATTCTATAATTATATATTTAAAAAAATTAGATAAAGGTATAATAATTATTTATATATAAAAAAAATATATTATTTTTTTTATTATTAAAATTTTTTTATATATTTTAGTTTTTATTTATTATAATATATACTATAATTATATTATTATCTTAGAATTTATAAATTATAGAAATTTATAAAAAATAAATAATTAATTTATAAATAATTTTTATATATTTTTTTTTTAAAGTAGTTTTATATTTTCTACTCCTATAATATAAATTTTTTATAAAATTATAAATAATATAAATTTATAGTAAATTTTTAAGTATTTTTTTTTTAAAATAACTTTTTTATTTAATTAAGATTTCTATAAATTTTTTTTATTTTTATAAAATAAAAAATATCTTTAAATAATACTTACAGATTCCTGGTTTATTTTTTTATAAAAATTATTTATTTGAATCTATTTTTTTTATAGTATAGTATTTATAAAGTAATAAGATATAGAATATATTATATATTTATAATTTTATAAATAACTCTAGTTTATAAATTTATTTATTTATTTTTTTAATTATCTAAAAAAGTCTATAATAGTATTAATTTAGTTTTTAATTTAAATATTTTTATAAAAGATTTTTTATAGATGATTATATTTTTTAAATTTATTATAAATATAATTAACTTCTAGTTTTTATTATAAAATCTCTTTTAATAATTATATATTTATTCTAGATTTATAATTATCTATTTTTTAATTTTTTTAATTTTATATAAGTATTTTTTTAGATTTCAGATTAGTTCTTCTACTATTTATAAATTAAGTATAATTATTTATAGATATTAAATAGTAATTATAAAAAATAGTAAATATTTAATAAATACTTATAAAAAGTTATTA